TCTAATTTTGGTCTCTGGGAAATGCTGGCCCCATAAAATGAGTTTGGAGCTCTTCCTTCCATTTTCTGGAAGAGTTTGAGAAAGTAGTTTTCATTCTTCTTTGAATGTGTGGTGGATTTCGTCTGTAAAGCCCTCCGGTCCTGGTCTTTTATTTATTGGTAGGTTTGTGATTACTGATTCAGTCTCCTTACTAGTAATGTGTCTGCTCTGTTCAGGTTTTTTCTTTATGATTCAGTCTTGGTAGGTTATATGTTTCTAGGAATGTATTCATTTCTTCTAGGTTTTCTAACTTTTTGATGAATAATTGTTCAATAGTTATTACTATGAACTTTCCTCTTAGGACTGCTTTGGCTGCATCCCATTGGTTTTGGTATGTTGTATTTTCATTTGTCTTATGGTATTTTTTTATTTCCCTTTTGATTCTTCTTTGGCCTGTTGGTTATTCAGTAGCATGTTGTTCAAACTCCACATATTTGTAAATTTTTGTTTTCTTCTTATAATTTCAAGTTTCAAACCATTGTGGTGGGGGAAAATGCTTGATATGATGTGAATCTTTTTAAATTCATTGACTTGTTTTATAGCCTAACATATGATCTATCTTGGATAATTGTCCATGTGTGCTTGAGAAGAATGTATATTTCATCCATGTCTTAAAGGAGTGGCCTCATGTAAGGGATACAACCTTACTGTTAATCCCCACCCCAGCTCTTTTCTCTCAAACCTTTGTGATATCCAAGCAATCAATTTTATTTTTAGTGACTGCTCATAGTTGAGGGTATGCCAAGACCTGTCAGTCACAGTCCTAAAGGGGAGCATCTCAGCCAGTACTTACACTCAGGCTGATAGGAAGCCAGATCTTCTGACAGCAGCTTTTAAAGTTTACAAATATCTGACATCCTGTGGGACTGCAAGCATAAGTCGTGCTGGTCACCAGAACCAGGCCATCTAGAGATGTCACCTCGGCGGCAGTCACAAAATCATGGTGTCAGATGAGTGTATAAACTTCTTCCAGGAGACACTGGTGAGCTGGAGTGAGGAAAAGAAGAAAGATGGCGCCTATCCGCCTCTGTTGCCCGAGAGCCCTTCATAGGCCAAATCCGAGCCTTCCTTAGGCCAAAGTCCCAGAACAAGCACATAAGCCTCTTGCAAAGAAAGACTGGAGACTGTTTCAGACTGCTGTCTGTGCAGTGCCGGGTGGTGACAGACTGCCAGCAACACTCTCTCCGGCTGTGACAGTCCCAGGGGACCCAGGAATGCAAGCCCCCGGCCACCAGGGCCAGGCAGTCAGGGCACCTCCCTGGGTGACAGCCTCAAAATCCAGGGCACCAGATGCGTTTCAAAGCTGCCCTGTCGGATCTTTGTTAAAGATACAGACTTCCAGGCCTTTTCTAAGGCCTGCTGAATTTGAATTTGAATACAAAGGCTTGAGAATGAGTATTTCACCAGGTTGGGTAAATTTGGCTAATGGTAGTTTAGTTACTTCTTAGACACTATATCCTTTGCCTCCCTCCAACCACCATAGAAACCCAGGCTTGACATTCTTCTCTGTCTTTCCCAACTATGAGGATTGTCTGTGGTCTCTACCACTTGTTTGTGGGCTCATTCATTCATCAGTGAGCAAGCATGATGGGGTACCTCCCTGGGTTTGCCTTTGGCTCATGAATGCCTTGTTTGCACTAAATCCCAGGTTTCTGAAGGCCATATTCTGGGACTATGGGTTTAAATTCGTTGTTTTTCTTTCTCCTCCCTCTGTCCAGCTGCACTCCAGGGTTCTGTACCTCCCCTCCCCACTATGATCCAGCACAGCTGATACCTCTGTGGAACCTGTGTTCCTGCTTGTTTGTTATATATACACCTCCCCTACCCTTTTATTCCCCTCTGGGAATTCTGTGTCCATTCAAACCCACATCCCTTTCCTCTGCTGCTTCTCGGAGCAGTATTTCCTTAAACTGCTGCCTGTGTGGTGTGCTTTCTCCCTGCATGTTTTGTGAGCTCTCCGCCCACTCGTGAGTGTTTCTCCATTGTCTCTGTCCTGCTCCCTGTTCCCGTTCTGTCCCCCCTCACCCTGCGGGCACCACTTGGGAATCGTGCCAGCTCCCCCCCTTCAGCTGCACTTTTTACCATCCAGACTCTAGAAAAAGCCTCCTGGTGGTGACCCGATATGCCAGAATCCTTTCTCCCTTTCTGTCCCCACATTGTGGCCACTCCCCCTGAATTCTGTTGCTTCTACAACTTTCTTGCCCTGAGTGCCTCTCTAACGCCCCTGCACGCCTTTAAACCTTGTGAAGGCCTCTCTGCACATGTCTGTCAGTGCAGGCCCTGTCTTCTAGAGGCTTCCATTCTGAGGGCAGCCCAGAACACCCACAGTCACCGTTCAGCCGACGGAGCCCAGGGTACAGGCCCAGCCCTGAGGATGGGAAAGCCTCCTGAGCACCTGCCCATCATCTCCTCCTGTTCTCACAGAAGTCGGGCAGCAGCGCCGGGTCCCGGGTCCTAAGCTGAGCAGTCCTTGTTGGCTGGTCCCGTGGCCTGGCCTCGTGTGGTGGGATACCACGGAAATGAGTGTGCGCCATGGGGAGGGTGACTTCTTTTCCCCCAGTATGATAACTGAGCCCCAGAAATGAAAACGGGAGAGGATTATGAGTGACACACAAAATTGTCTGTTCCACCTACTTACCCTTGGTGGGAGCAAGTTTCAATAGAACTGAGCATTTAATTTCTGGCAGTATTTGTTATTTCCATTAACTCATAATCGTGCTAATTTTAAGCACGTTAATAACTAGCAGCTGCACTTCAGAGCCGTTCTTCGTGTAATTTGGGAGGGAAAACAAGCACTAAATATACCCTGGTTTACCAGCTCTCATTTGATGAAACTTTTTAACTCCTTGTAAACAGGTATTTCTGGAGTTGCTTGCGCATTTCAGCTGGGAGCTCCATCCATTCTGCATGAGAGCTAGTGTCAGTCCTATTCTGGGTGGCCTTTCTCACGAAACTGCATGCTCTGCCCTCTTCCCACCCCCTCCTGGCCTATTGACCGCATTTGCCTTCTTGAGCCCCATCCCCCTCTGTGTTCTTCACATCACGAGCTGGAGCAGTAGCAGCGCCCTCGTGGGGCATGGCGCAGCCCCTTCGCCTGCTCCTGCTTGCCCAGGCCAAGCAAAGGTCAGCTGTTAGATGGCTCAATATTTGTATCTTAAAAACTGTCACCTTAGAAGAGGCTCAGATGTTGGACTGCTATGCCCAGGAGGTGCTTATCCCTGGGAAGGAGAGGAGGCTCTTACTCCAGCCCGAATTCCTGGCCCGTAAGGAAAAGTGAGATACGGGCTGCCCTGGACCCCAAGGCAGACAAGCAGCTCCTGCCACAGCGGACGTGATTCCTCAGTGGAAAACTGCCTTTCCCCAGTCACACCATGGAATGAGATCGGAGGAGGTTATAAAAAATGACTTACAACTGGAGGAAGCCAATTTGTAGTTGAACTCAGCTTTGAAAAGGCCACTAAGACCTGCTTGACTAGAAGCTGATTCTCGGTACCGACTTACAGACCTGCCATGGGAGCAGGAGATGGTCAGCTCCTGAGTGGTCTGTGGCCCGAAAGCATCTGATCGCTCATCTCTTCCCGCAGGAGAGTTCTCCGCCTCGGACAGCTCCCTCACCGACGTCCAGGAGGCCCGCAGGCCCATGCCCGACCCCGGCCTCATGCCCCTGCCCGACGCTGCTGCCGACTTGGATTGGTCCAACTTGGTGGATGCCGCCAAGGCCTATGAGGGTGAGTCCCCTGGGGATCAAGCAGTCCAGCTGGGACCTCCGCAGGGCCACGCTGCCGTGTGAGTGCTGGTCAGTCTCCCTCAGTCTGTGTCCTTGGACACAGCGACAGCCCCCACCCGTCACCGGCACAGCCAGGACCAGCTGAGCTGGTACTGAGCGCTCAGCAGGGCTCACACCCTCTGATTCAGTAGGTGGAGCCTGATGTGTCCTCTCTGGAGGAATTCATAACATGGTGCCTTCCCTCCCTGAGTGGGAAAGGCAGGGGGTCCCAACTGTCACTTAAAGGAGAAAAATGTGGTCCTTCATCACATCGTAAGGACATCATTGCTGAACACACATGGGGTCTGTTAGGGTGCTGGGCCCGCCCCTGTCCTACATTCATCCCCCCAGAGGGTGTGGCATGTGTCCTGTCTGCGTTGTTCCCGTGCCAGCCCCCTGCCCAGTGCTTGCTCTAGGCCTGTGGTCCTTCGACGGTGCTGACGTATGTAAAACTGCAGCGCTGGCTTGTGTGCTGACATAGGTTGTCAGGTGCCTGTTTTGGAATAAACTGACTTCATTCTAAGGTCATCATTCCATTCTTCATAAAAGGAGGATGACAGGCCCTAGCCGTTTTGGCTCAGGGGAAAGAGCACTGGCCTGAGGACTAAGGGTTGCAGGTTTGATTCCGGTCAAACCTTTGTTTCAGGCTTGAGGGGACGTGGGGGTCGGGTGGGCGGAAGGCAACCAATCAATGTGTCTCTCTCACAGCGATGTTTCTCTCTCCCTCTCTGTCTTCCCCCTCCCTTCCACTCTCTAAAAATCAATGGAAAAATATCCTCAGGTGAGGATTAACAACAACATAAAGATGATAGCAGATGATTTCTTCGGGGTGCGGCGGGTGGTGTTTATTGCTCTTCTTTGAAGAATTGAAAGTAGCTGTTCAGACAAGCGCCAGTTTTCAGGAGAAATTGATTAGGCCTTGGAAGTCAGGCCACCATGACGCAGTCGGCAAGGAATCCCCATGTAGCTGACCGCAGTCCCAGGACTAACGCGGATTTAAACTTCAGTCTGTGGGTCCCTCTCGTTTATATAGACACCGTCTATACGTGTGCATATATCACCTGCCCATGGGGCAGAGTCCGAGTGGGTGCAGCCAGGTTCTCCCGGCCTCCTGCCCCCCATTCTGTGCCACTGGGGTCGCCGCCCTCTCTGCTGTGAGGCTGGAACCAGGGCAGTGGGGGCTCAGGGAAGCCTGGGCCTGTCTGACCGACTCCCCTGCCCTGACTGTACAGACAGGATGGTAGGCGTTTTGTGTTTCTAATGGGAGTTTTTAAACTTCTTGGCTCGAGGGTTAAGTTGGGACACTTGGAAGCACACGGTGTGGACTTGGTCCAGCCCGCCGGGTGGCCACAGGAGCCTCAGGAAGCCCAGTCCGAGTCCTGATGCACTGGATGGCACCACTGAGGGGGAAGCCTGGGCTGGAAGCGTGGCACAAGGCCTGTTTCCAGGGAAACATTGAACAGAGGGAGAATTTGATAAGAGAAAAGGGGGACTAAAATGGATGCACAGCTACTATTTTTTAAGGACAGTTACAATGCTGCTATCCTGTTGCAGCTTAGAACAGCTATTTTTCCCTGTTGGGGGATCAGTGTGGGCCACATGTTGATTCAGAGCCCAGGATGTTTCCTAGCTGCTGAGCGTTTCTGCCTCCTTTGCAGTCCAGAGAGCCTCCTTCTTTGCTGCTAGTGATGAAAACCATCGCCCCTTGAGCGCTGCATCCAACAGCGACCAACTTGAGGACCAGGCCCTGGCCCAGATGAAGTCCTACAGCAGGTGGGTCACCCAGAGGTGAGGCCGTCAACCTGCACACACGTCACTGCACCAGCAGCCGTGGGAGGAGACAGAGGCCCCTAGGCGAGCTGGGGCTCATCACCGCGGTGCCAGCTCCTCCCATTGCAGTTGGAACACTTGTACCTGGATACTGCAAACAGTTAACCCGCCCTTGGCAGCTCAGAGTGGGAAGTATGAATATTCTTTACTTAATGCTTTATACACTCACACCCTTGGCGTTAGGAAGCAAGGTAAGAAGAGTCATTTGTGCTAAAACATCCCCAGATTCCTGTGTGGTTAGCCCTTGAGTCCCTTCCGCAGCCGCCTGTCAGTCATGCTTAGGAATGTGCCTGCGTCCTGGCAGCTCCAGCTCTGCACTAGGTCTGGGCCACGGGGTACCTAAGAGTGTATGTACAATAAATGAGCAGTAACTGAGTCCCAGAGGGTTTTCTGGTGAGCTAAGAACATGGACTTGACTTCTGTGTAACGTGCAGAGGCAGGCGTTTTCCCCTCCCTTCCAGGTGGTGAGGATAGTGGATGTACATGTGACACTATTATGCCAGCGGTCCTTGCAAACATCGTTTCATTGTAAGGTTGATGAGATGCCGAAGCAACTTAACTCTTGGTTATGTCAATGAGCCTGTGGCAAAATTGGTTGTTACATGTCGTTTCACTTAAAGTTGCAGATTCCATGCCTGGTGTTAAGTGCGGACTTACTGTATATTACAGCATCTCAGTGGTCAGCCGTGGGGCACACAGAGAATAAGAAAATTGTGTGTCGCCCTAGCTGGTTTGGCTCAGTGGATAGAGCGTCAGTCTGCGGACTGAAGGGTCCTGGGTTCACTTCTAGTTAAGGGCACATGCCTGGGCTGCAGGCTCGATCCTCAGTCGGGGGCGTGCAGGAGGCAGCCGATTAATGATTCTTTCTCATCGTTGATGTTTCTATTTCTTTCTACCTCTCCCTTCCTCTCTGAAATAATAAAAATGTATTTACAAAAAAAAGAAAATTATGTGTCTAGCTTGCTGATCATAATAGCAAAGAATATAAGACAGTAGGGTAGGCTGACAAGCTTCTGAAACATGTAGTCTTATTTTAAAAGTAAAGATATTTAGACTCTTTTTAAGATGTGAGCCCAGTAACTTACAGCTGGATAGTGGTCACAGACTCTTTTCTGGGGACCCTAGACCCCTCCTTGTTGCCCCGAGGTGGCACTTCCATCGGCCCCTCTTCCTAAAGCCGCTGCAGACAGGAACCTGTTCCCGGTGAACCTGCCAGAAAGCACGCTGCCACGGAGACCATTTTCACTCATTGTCCTGTGTTCTTTTGTTATAAAAACGCAGCCTCTGGAACAAAGGAAGCCATGGATTGGCTGTAGTTCCTGCTTGTATGGCCTTTTGTTGAGATGACCGTTTTCTTTTTTAAAGTGAACATGCACATTGGGTTGCCATCCTGAGTAATTTGACATTGAAAACCATGTTACAAATACAGCTGCCTCATTTTTAAAAATGTCAAACAAACCCCGCCGGGAGGCTCCCGCCAACGTGGACTGTTTCTTGTTCCAGCAGTAAGGACTCCTCCCCCACTCTGGCCTCTAAGGTGGACCAGCTGGAGGGGATGCTGAAGATGCTTCGGGAAGACCTGAAGAAGGTAGGCGTCTTCTCAGGCAGCCGGCCCCTCTACGTCGTGTTTCTTAGTGGGGTAAGAGGGGGGTGTTTGGGGGCTCCTTGGAGCTCGGTTCCACTGGCCACGTGGTGCAGGAAGGCCTGCACGCCTTCCCGTTGTGGAAGCCTCGAGCCTCAGCCGCCCCCCCATGAGCTCCCGCCCTGTACGTGGGTCAGAAGCCCAGACCCACATGTTGTCCTGTGGCCGCGCCTCCGTGCCGAGAGACCTTCACCTCGTCTGTTTCTCGAGCGGCTTTGGCTGTATTAAGGCAGCAGCCCCCAGAACAGCAGTCTAAACTGCGAGACAGTCCTTATGAACAAAGACGTGAAAACACATTGTTTACATTCCAAGATAAACTGCAGTGAGTCTGGCAGCCTTGCTCCCTGGGTGAGCAGATCTGAACACCCAGGACGAGGCCTGGCTACAGAAGGTCAGTGGCAGGAGGAGTGGACACGGGCGGAGAGTGCAGACAGACCCACAGCCACTCTCCCCGGCAGCCTGGCGAGGTGGGTACTGTGCTCAGTCCTTTTCTCTCTGCCTCAGGAAAAAGAAGACAAAGCCCACCTTCAGGCAGAAGTCCAGCACCTGCGCGAGGACAACCTGAGGCTGCAGGAGGAGTCCCAGAATGCCTCTGACAAGCTGAAGAAGTTCACGGAGTGGGTCTTCAACACCATCGACATGAGCTAGGGCAGGCGGCCCGGAGCAGCCGCAGCCCCCGGAGGCTGTGCAGCCCTGGTCAGGCCATTGAGCGTTCTCAGACTCCCTGCTCAGCTTCCTGCCTACTCGGCCCACTTTGGGGGGTACACACACACACAGCAATTGCAGATCAACAATCATTGTCTGCCTTTTGTAGAAAAGAAAAACAAAAAAGTAAAAATTTTAAAAAGTAAAATAAAGTTTAACTGCTAAAATGTGAATGTCTTTATTTTTTTGCACAATATCTTTATCTGTTATGTATTTAAAAAGAAACTGGGCCTAGGACAAGGTTCCCCAGCTTATCTGCCTCTATTTCCTTCGGCTCTTTCTTAACTATTTCAGGTAACCCCAGCAACCCAGGCTGCCCCTCATTATCCTGACGAATGTCATTGTTCCTAGGAAAGTAAAAGGTTTTAAAAATTGTGTATTTGGGGAAGGGGTTTCCTTACCTGCATTTCTAAAATGCCGGGGAGGGTGGGCCTGCCTCTGCTGCTGGCTTGTGCCGGAGCCCGTGCTGTTGGTGCCTGTCCTGCAGAGACTGGCAGGACGGGGCTATTACCCCACAGCAAAGCCCTGCCAGAGAGAGGCGGCCTTGCCTGCAGGCCACGCCCCCAGGTCCTGCCTTGTGCCCTCATTCCCTCCTTCCTTTCCGGGGGAGATGGCCCCAGGTGCTGTGTGCTCCTCGGTTTGGCTTAAGTGAATCCCACCCAATTGGAATCGGCCTCCCTGCAGCTTCCGGGCTCCAAACACTGATTTCAGGATTCTTTCAACCTGCAATATTATCTGTAGCATTTTGGCCAAAAGTATCGTGTTGGAGATTTTTAAACGATGAAAAAGGCAGCAAAATTGTATTTTTGGCTCACTCAAAATGACCATATTAAAAAATTAATAAACCCTTGTCTCCAAAGCAAGATTTCACCAGTATTTGAAACTAGGAAAAGCGGATGTTAAATTGTGAATTTTAGTACTTGCTTCTTAGGAGCAATGACTATGATGGTGGAAGGGGCTTCTGAAACCTGCATGTCCCAGTGTGCACCCGAAGCACGGCATTTTCTGCATCCTCTGTGGCCATGAAAGGGTTCTGCTGCAGAAACGGCCCCTTTGCGCCTCCTCCTGCCTGGTGATGCAGTGCTCGGGGCCGCTGTGCCAAGGCCCTGGGCCCAGCAGGGCACACACACTGGGCCCAGCAGTGTTGACCCCAGGGGAGCCCCTGGCGGCCCTGTTTCTAGCCTTCACAACTGTCAGGAAGCCGACACCTGTGCCCTTTCGGGGAACGTGCAGCGATCTCGTGTCACCTGCTTGGGCGTTCCCTGCCCCAAGGAACCCCGACTCATTCCTCACTCCAGCCCTGAAAGAAACAGGGTGGGTTTTCCCCTCTCCTCCCCGAACCCCAGCCCCAGACTTTTATGCTACAGTTTCATTCATGATTGTGATTTCTCCATGGGATTTTTTTTTTTTCTGGTGACATTTCTATCATGGAAATGGGAAGATTTCAGAGTGCTCTGTAAAGATCTCAGTGGTCTCTGGCGTGTGTGAAGGAGATTGTACGTTGCCTGATATCTCTTTATCAATGAGAAATGTCGCTAGCATTTAAGCATTCTGAAGGCTTGCTTATCCGCCTGAGTTTAGTTTTTACTTTGTTTTACATTTTGTTTGGGGACTTGGGGCAAGCTATTTATTAGAGTTTTGCAACAGAGTTCTTGTTTGAAGCCTTTAAAGACTACTTGTAAAAGTCCAACAATAAAATTCATTTTAAACGCTCTTGTAAAACGCATTGGCATTACTGCTTGAGGTTTTCTTGTTTGAACGACCACCCAGTCACTCACTGGCCTCATCTTTTCATCTGGCTCCATTAACGCGAAAGACGATTCTTGGAAGTTTCTGTTCCTTTTAGAGTTTCAATAAGCTTGTTTAATCTCTGTTCACATGTCCGTGGAGAATCCCTAATTTGCCTTCTCTGCTGCAGATTTAATATTTGCAGAGCACTTGGTAATTAGTTCTCTGTTCATCATCCACGTGTGGGTTTTCCACAACAGCACTGTCATTCCCTGAGACCAGCACAGTTTTGGCCGCTTCTGTGTCCCCAACTCGGTGTTAGATGTTGTGGGCTCAGGAAATACAAATGCCAGTTAATAGTAGGCTGTGCAAAATATAATTAGAAAAGTTAATCTACTGAGAAAATAGTGCATTCCAAAGCCAAAGGAAACAAAATTGCAAAGGCTACCACGTCACTGTTCCTCTCCAGTGGTGCAGCTAATTGAGAGCTAACAGAGTTTCTTCCTTTTAATTGGTGCAACAATTCTACAGATTCTAGAATTAACAGCACGGTGACGCCAGATGCCACAAGATACTTTGATTGACGTGCTAAAGCGGTCTGTTCCAGCGGTTCTCAACCTGTGGGTCGCGACCCCTTTGGCCGTCGAACGACCCTTTCACAGGGGTCGCCTAAGACCATCCTGCCTATCAGATATTTACATTACTATTCGTAACAGTAGCAACAGTACAGTTACGAAGTAGCAACGAAAATAATTTTATGGTTGGGTCACAACATGAGGAACTGGATTTAAAGGGCCAGCAGGTTGAGAACCATGATCCTTACCTGGTTTGGAGGGTGTCTACATTATTTCTGAAGGCCTCAGTCGTCGGTTGGCAGTTCCTGGGAGAAGGTGCCATCGGCCTACAGTGATAGAGGGTCCTCCTTCAGGAGCTGGCTGGAGGGGCCGATTGCACTGGAAATGTGCTGCAGGTTGTAAACAGGTCGGATTGGGTTGGAGGAGTAACTCCACGTGGGGATAAAAGTGAGCATCTGAGGGCAGAGCTTCGGTTAAAAGTGGAAGAGTGACCTGCATGGAGTCCATCCATCTCACAGCAGATGTGTTCCAGCAACAACCTGGTGCTGCTCCCCCCACGCCGAGCCAAACGGGTTCAAGTGCAAGCAGGCTCGCCTTACAGATAAATCCACACAAACGTGCATGCTGTTCCACACCAACTGTGGTTTCTAAAGCATGATACCACAATCATGTGGCTGCCTTTCCCCCACAGGGATGATGCCACTCATGACCTGTCCATATGGAACTGTCATTCTCTGATTAGAAAAAGACATTTGACTTAGACTGGGACTCAAATCCCAGCCATTATGTAGCACCGTGTCTTTAGGTAAATTAGCGAATTTCTTCTTTTTTTGGTTAATCATCACCTGAGGATATTTTTCCATTGATTTTTAGGGAGAGGGGAAGAGTGAGGGAAAGACAAACATCGATGTGAGAGAAACATATCAATTGGTTGCCTCCTACATGAGCTCCGATCAGGGCCCAGGCTGGGGAGGAGCCTGCAACCAGGGTATGTGCCCTTGACTGGAATCGAACCTGGGACCATTTGGTCCGCAGGCTGGTGCGCTATCCAGTGAGCCAAACCAGCTAGGGCTATCTAATCTTTTTTTAGTTTGGTTTGCTCATCTGGTGAAATAGTAGTGGCCTTATCTACATACTGTTTTGAGGATTAAATAGAATCCTGTGTAAAGCCAGTGACTGGGAATTGAAGACAGTCAAGCATGTCTCCCCTGCCCTCCATCTCCAATATGTGAAGGCTTTTCCAATATATGATTATGTCAGCGTCACTCAGCCACATCCCCAGCATCTGTAATTTAGCAAGTCAGGATGGGAGCTTAGAGTTTATAGTTTTTACAGTTTCCCAGATGATGGCGTAGAGGCAGGGCTTTTGGAGAAAAGGGGTAACTGAAGTATAGTCATAACCATTCATGATTTTTAAAAAATAGATACTATAGCACAAGGCACTTAACTATGTCCAGATATCTGAGTGTTATTTTGACAGGTCAGCTGACCACAGAGTACCTTACAGGGGGAAACAGGCTTAAGGATAGCCAGAGAGAGTGTAGTTAGGTAAAAGAAGGCTTTTTTTTTTCATTTTTCCAAAAAAAGGAAATTTAAAGCCCCTTTTATATGAAACTTTCTGCCATGACTGTTTTAATTCCTGTGTTACCTGGACAGGCTGGCATGCCCTCACCAGCCACCGGTAATAGTACGAGACTAGTTACCAGGTTGGCAAGGAATGACCTCGTGACTTTGGGGGCTGACAGTTTGGATGCTGAGGAAAGCAGGACCTGGCGTGGCAGTGGCAGAACCACCAGCCAGGCCCACGGTGTGTGGCCGCACAGGGGTTAAATGTCAGATCTGATTCCAGGCAAGGAGAGCTGGATTCCAGTCACTGACTTTGAAATCACCTCAGTCAGCTTACCCCAACCCCCAAGAACCTATCCAACTCCAAATCACTAAACCAAAATTTCCCTACTGCCCTCAGACCGGCCCAAAACTATTAAGAATTCTTTACTTGGAGGAGGGTTCAAGATAGCGGAGCAGAGCCCTGGTCCATGTGCTTAGTGGTTAGAGCATCAGCCCATGCACTGAAAAGTCAGATATTTGATTCCTGGTCAAGGGCATGTACCTGGGTTGCAGATTCAATACCTACTGCGTGCAAAGGGCAACCAACCAACCTCTCTCTCTCCTTCCTCTCAAAAAAAATCAATGGAAAAAATATCCTCAGGTGAGAGTTAACCAAAAATGTTTATTTATAAACTAGTAGTGGAGTAAGAAAGACCTTGAACTCCCCTCCTCCCATGAACACGGCAAATATATACCTACCTACAGGTCAGTTTCTCCTGAAGAACCACCAAGGGCTGGTTGAACAGCTTCTGCACATCAAATGAGAGAGAGAGACGCATAGAGAAGGGTAGGAGAGATAGAAACTGTGGGAACACTACCCCAATGGGGCAACCTTGCAGTAAGGAAGGTTATCACTTAGGATCTCCTGTGCAGATTCACCTGCCCTGAGCACAGCAATAAAACTGCTCTGCCCTGTGCCTGCTCCAGCTCCAGCCAGCTGGCCCCAGGGTGTCCCCAGAGCCACATGCCTCAGGAGAGCTTGGCCAGCACCAGCTCCAGCTCTAGCAGTTGGCCTGCCAAGGCACCCCTGGCACATGAGTGACCACTTCAGTTGCAGTCACCCTGACAGAGCCACCTGGAACTCACAGCCTACACAGACATCACTTCTACACAAGGCCACTCCTTCAATGTCAGGAGAGATAGCTGTTTCATCCAGTTAATAGAAACAAATTCAGAAAGTCAAAGTGAGGAGACAAAGAAATATGTCCCAATGAAAAAACAGGAAAATAAAACCAGGAAAAAGCCCTGACATGGAGATAAGTACCTGATAAAGAATTCAAAGTAATGGTCATAAGGATGCTCACCAAACTTGGGAGAATAGGGGAACACAGTGTGAACTTTAACAAAGATTTAGAAAATATTTTAAAAGAACCAATCAGAGGTAAAAATAAAATAAAATAAAAATAAAAATACAATAACTAAAAGAAAAGTACCCTAACCAGTTTGGCTCAGTGGATAGAGTGTCGGCCTACAGACTAAAGGGTCCCAAGTTCGATTTGGTCAAGGGCATGTACCTTGGTTGCAGGCACATCCCCAGTAGGGGGTGTGCAGGAGGCAGCTGGTCGATGTTTCTCTCTCATAGATGTTTCTAACTCTTTATCCCTCTCCCTTCCTCTCTGTAAAAAATCAATTTTTAAAAAAAGTACACTAGAGGGAATCAATAGCCGATTAGATTATACTGAAGAACAAATTAGTGGACCAGGAGACAGAATAGCAGAAATCACCCAATCAGAACAGCAAAAAGAAAAATTTTTTTAAAAATGAAGATAGTTGAGGGGGCCTCTGGGAAAACAACAAGTATACTAACATTTACATTATCAGGGTACCAGAAGGAAGAGAGAGAAAGGGGCAGAAAACCTATTTGAAGAAATAATGGCTGAAAATTTTCCTAAACTGGGGAAGGAAACAGACGTCTAGGTCCAGGATGCACAGAGTCCCAAACAAGGTGAACTCAAGGAGACCCTCCCCAAGACATATTACAAAATGGCAAAAGTTAAAATAGAGAATCTTGAAGGCAACAAGATTAAAAGGGAAACCCCAAACGCCTACCCACTGATTTCTCAGCAGAAACTTCACAGGCCCGAGGGAGAGGCAGGCTACATTAAAGTGCCAAAAGGAAAGAACCTACAGTCTAGAATACTCTCTACCAGGCAAGGCCATCATTCAGAATTGAAGGAGAGAGAGTTTCCAAGACAAGTAAAAGCTACAGGAGTTCATCACCACTAAGTCAACTTTGCAAGGAATGTTAAAGGGTCTTCTTTACATGGAAAAGAAAAGGCCATAACCTGAAGTAAACATGTGAAAGAAAAGATCTCGCTAGTAAAGGCAAATATATAGTAAAGGCTGTGAACCTTCCACTTTAAAAGCTAGCATGAAGGTTAAAAGAAAAACATATCAAAATCCACTATAACTACAATAAGTAGTTAGGGGCTACATAAATGAAAATATTTAAAATATAATGTTGAAAACAAAGTGTGGAGGGAGGAGTAAAACTGTAGTGCTTTTGTGTGTTTGAACTTAAAATGCCTATCAGCTTAAAATACACCGCCTAAAACAGATACAGGTCAATGCATATGAACTTCACGGTAACCACAAACCAAGAACCTACAAAAGATACACAGAAAATAAAGAGAAAGGAACCGAAACGTCACACTAGAGAAAACCAGCAAACCATAAAGAGATCAAGACAAGAGGGGGGGAAAATAGAACTACAAAAACAACCAAAATATGTACAATTAACAAAATGGCAATAAGTCCATACCCATCAATAACTAATTTAAATATAAATGGACTAAATGCTTCAATCAAAATAC